ACAAACCTTACGATTTAATAAAATAAAAAAATTGATATTTTGCATATGAAAGCATTTACTGATAATCTGCCAAATTGCATTAACATATGCTTACTAATTTAAATGTTATAGCATGAAAACTATAACAAGCTCAAATTTGTTACGAGCTCCGTCCCAGGAACCGAGCCCGTGCTGAAAGAGTTAAAGCGTGGTTAGAGAGGTTATTTATGACTTCAGAGGGGGTTCTCAGCAAACATGGTTAAGGGTTACTTGTCTCTTTTTACCTTGAGTAACTTCTATAATTTAATTAGTTTACAATGTAATAAATTTTTTATTGTTTTGAGTCTCAATGGTTTGTTTTAAATATACATAATCCAAGTGACTAACATGTTGTTTTAACACTGAGAGATTGGAAACATACGATACAAGTAATTTGTTTTTTTTTACTTGTTTTTTTGTTAGTAACTTTTTGCTTAAATCAATGCTGCATTCAACATACCACGTGAGACACACAAATCGATATTTAGGATTTATTTTTAATATTTACTAATAAATTAAGAAATTAACTAACGTATAATACTAAAATTTGAACTATAATCTACCAGTTGATACCAAAGTTATTGACATACATTCATAAAATAATAGCTCAATAAAAGTTTGAATGTAAGTCTACAAATGCAATGACATGACCTTTGACCCATGACCATAGGAAGATTCGCCTCTGTAGGGTTAATAAAATCGTGTTTCTTTGGGTTTAAATAATAAAACTGGTACAATTCCCTTGGAACAAACCAATAACATAAACAACTCATCTATTTGAACAAAAATATTACTATAACATTAAAAAAAACACAATTAACATAACAAAATATGATAGGAAACATACAAGATACAATAGTTTAGTGTATAAAGTAACTATAAATCTCCACCAGTGACACTACTATATATACTACACAGTTTTTTGTCATGCAAAAATATACAAACTTAGTACCACTCATACTCACTTTCCTTGCAATTCTGGAACAGTGTATACTCGATTCTGACAATACTGAACAATCTCACAGAAAAGTAGGCCAAATGTGCTGATATTAATCTGAAATTAAAAAAAAAACAATTATTCAGTTTTGTAGTATTTACTCAATGCTTGAAAATAATTATGAGCTGGATTACGTTTAAAATATCACAGAAATATATCTATGTTTCTATTATTACTATACAACACTACCCAAAATCTAGAACGATATAAATACAAAATTACAATTAAAAAATCATACCTGTAAATCAACTTTTCACCCTATGCTACTTTCCCATTGGAACAATGTTAATAAAATGTCAGTGATTTATTGCTTTGCCTAGTAACCTGATACCGCGTGACACCCATGTCGAGGCAAGATAAAATGTAGTCCTATTGACATTCATCCACTTCCAACTCATACATGTGTATTCATATTATATGGATAAATAGAATGAAAATTGTTAACAACCAAATGTTAATAATGAAGTATGAGCTTACCTATGTACTTATGAAAGAATAGGTGAAATTTTGTTATCACTTTGGTTGTAAACTTGAAATACCGTGATTGACAGGTAAGTATTAGTAGTAACCTCTACCTATTCTACATCATGTCATGACGTAATTGATACATCATTCTTAGCCACACCCAATGATATGACGTATAGCAAACTGTTGACAGGACAACATAGTCTACTTACAACCGATGATATGACATAAAGCAACATGTTCCCAAAGCAACATATAGGCTGTTTACAATCCACATTTGACATGCTGTCTGTTTGATATAGGCATATCTATGTACTGGTTTATACATTATGTAGTCCACAATGCCAAGTTTCTATCAATTCAATGACTAAAAAGAATTTTTAATGGTCCTAAAGTTTTATTTGCGTATTTTCAAATAGTGAATGCTTCTGGATCCAATGAAACCAGCCAGACCAAAGTAGAGCATAAAGGGAGCTATCATTTGTATGTATCACTGGTCCAGCCAATTCAAACTGACACCTTGGTTTCAGTTTTAACATTCATTCCCTGGTTGCTGACAAATTGCAGACGACAGCTTTAGCAATCTTCATGATAGTTTGTAAAGCCGATTTCAAACTAGTCGGAGTAAAGTTGCCTTGAAATAAATCATACACATTCAGCATATATTAGTGCTGTAGACATTTTCCATTTGTTGTACAATAATTAGTATTTTATTTATGTGAGATTTATATATTCATAACTGCAGTTTCATTCACGCGTTTCTGTGGCCGGGAACTATAATTCTCTGGGGCTCCCTACTAGAATGGTGCCTTGGATGGACGGGTTGTCATACAAGGAGAGGATAAGATCTCTGAAATTGTTTTCTCTTGAAAAAAGAAGAGTTAGAGTGGATCTTATTGAGGTGTTTAAGGTTGTAAAGGGAATACACAGTGTTGATGCATCATCTTTTTTCATACTTAACAGCAAGAATAGTAGGACTAAGGGACACAAATATGTTTAGAGAATGGGATAACCAAGATAAACCAATAGGTTCATTGTTTTCCATAAATATTATTGGTAATGTTATGTAAAAAAAAAATACCAGGTCAACTGGCAATTGCATTACAAAAATATAAATTTCAAAATAACCTGTCATATTGAAAAATTATGATTTTTCACGCATAGTTTAAATCCTCGGAATTGTTTATAACCCACGTTCAACACGAAGGTTAACTGTTGTTAATAACTTTAATGTTATTTACCAATAATAAATAATGGCGATCACAGGCTGACAGTAATAGTAATACCAATAACATGGCAATATAAAACATACTAACTTTCTACTTAGTTAAGCCTACATAATTTACTTACTTCACTCTTTCCTTTGCTTAAAGGCTTATCTAGAATATTTATTTTAGACTTTGTTGACGCCATCAGAATTAAAATCAAGCTTACTGGCCAGACGTCTGAGTTCAATTTGTAATTTTTTTTTATATTAAAAACAGTACCGCTAAAAGTTTTCAAGTTACATTACTCATTAAGCTTTCTAAATTTCTTCTACCACAGAAAATATGTTGCAAAGATTGTTACTCGAACTTTACTCCTTAACTTTCCGCTAGGGCTCAAATCTTTTTATTATCATTATTATTATTATTCACCAGATTCTATTCTCATTTTTTAATAGCTTGACAGTGAATACCAATAAAATAAATCATGAAAAACTTCATAGGTGGTGAGTAAAGGACTATGTATCTAAACCAAACAAACTACTTCCATTCCATCAATTTGTTTATTTTCTTTGCTCTTCTTAGCAGCACTGATGAGCTGTGATTTTGCGAAAATAAATAGTATGTTGCAACAGGAGTAGCGAATCAAAGAAAAGAATAAGCCTCTATATCATCTTTTCTTCATTGAAATTAACGTTTTGGTTAAGGCAAAATAAACTGATAAATAAATAATATTTTACTATTTTGTTCTGTTGCTAAACATAATGATATATAATTTTCGTCTCTACCATCTCAAGATGTTTTGAACCTTACTTAGTATATAAATCTCACCACTTACTTTGCCTAGCATGCGCAATGATGTCGAATCATTTATATTTCATTTGACATGTTTTTTATATATGTTTTATTTTTGGATCTGGAGAAATGTTGTAACTTATATTCAAGCTTCGAGGTACCTCTTAAATCAACATGTCGATAAACTCCATGATAAAGCGAACACTACTGATTTATTTATATTAAGTTAAAATGTGTTTGCCATGATGTAACAATTTTATTGAAAAGATAATTTATGAACGATCTATTCTAACTTTTTACATTTTATTTTTGTTACCCAAATAATTATGCATGATGTTATCAACCATGTTATTTGTAAAGTCATTTTTATTTACAACATTTTAATGTTTTCAGTATCTTTATGGAGATATTCATACGTGCTAGTGAATTTTTTATGCACCATGAATTACTGTCTTAATCAGATGTGCTTAAAACAATTCTAGAATGAGGTTGTCAAAATGAAAATACAACTAGTAACTATTTGCATAAGTGAATCAAAAAGCAAGTTGACGTTCTACTGTCAATTTCTCACTATCATGTTAACTGTAAAGACACTTTAGAAATTGATCAACGTGTTGATGATCATTAAAAATGACAAAAGTATTATCACCTTACTTCCGATAACATACAGGTTTGAAACTCAAATGGCTACCACTGTTTTTCACAGCAGCAAAAGAAAAAATCGGGGAGTCACGATTGTAATATTTTCTGGTTCGCGGATTTACCTCAGAGAGAGTAACCAGTTAGAGCCCACTAACTAGGGATTCAAGGTTGCTAAGTTACGAAGTGTGTTTCTCACTGAACTCCAACCAAATTCGTGATGCAAAAAGAGAAAAACAGGAACAAATGCAAAGATTACGAAAATATTTATTCACTACAAAAAACACTACAAACCAAAACACAATAAATGGGATATGTGTAGAAATGATACAAGATGTGTGAGAATCTTTTTTTTAGCGTTTCTTACCAGTACAAATACAATCCCCTGTTAGTTAGATTACAGATAAATAAATCTATATAACAAAAAATAGCCTCGTCAATCAACTGTAAATTTACAAAACAAAGTAAAGTAAAATTAAAATGAAGTTTGAATTTTACTAAACATTTATCCAAATGTTTAACTTCTACTTAAGCCAAAACCTCTGATATTCTCGAAAGCAAACTAAGGCAAATGTCAAATTAAAAAAACTTAGCAGAGATCTACATCAATGGTTTGATGAACGCTGAAACCCATGAAATTCCTAAAAATCTAAAGCTCCCAGGGCAAATCTGACCTTATCTGAAAATAATTAATATACATCTTTTCCTAGTTCCATGGTTAGCGAGTGGCCCTTGTGTTTGTAGTGTTACGCTGGTGGCGTGTGCGAGGAGTTTCTCGAATGATCATGAATTTCCTAGTGCGTTCGAGACGCCCTCTTCTTTAGTATATAAGCCTGACAAAGAAAGCCTGCGAAACTGAATGAAGAGAGTTCCGGGTAATTTACGATTCTGTTTCGAGCTAGTGTGTGTTTTGTTATCGAGATTGTGAATCGCTGTGATTTATAGCGTGTATTTTAAAAGTAGTTAAGTTTAAAGTGACGAGAAACATAGTGATTGTGATATTATTGTGTACTAAAAGTGTGTATCGAGAAAGAATAAGCTGGTTTAATCAAGAAAGGACTTGTATCGCTGAAGTTCCTCGGAAAGAATTTCTACCGGAAATTATCAAACAAGCAGATACGCAACAATAGTGTATTAATTGCAAAAGGCGGGGCTAACCCTACCTGTTATTCTTTCCCCAACAAAAAATAACATAATGTTTCTTTAATCAAGTTACAAGCTATTTTTCTCACAGAATAACACGAATAATAGGCTATTACGAACACAGTTATAGTGTACTTTTGTGAAAGTTGAGTAGCTTACTTAAGGATCTCACTCCTTTTAAAGTTAGAAAAATGAAAAATACATACATTTAAAACCATATTACACATTAATTAAGGAAGCAGAAAACACATAGTATGGTTCCCTACTACACATTTCCTTCCCCCTTTGCTTCCAGGCCAACCCAACCGACCCTATATTCTATAAAAAACAAACTAAAAACAACTTTCATCACATTGTTCTCAAGAAATCAAAATAACTCAACTTTGCACCACTTTCCCTGCAACACTAACTTGCACACAAGCAAAAACAACACTACAAAACAATACACAATTTGCAACTCAAGGAAGAATATTTAAACATACTTCACTAATAGAAATTAAATCAAATGAAAATACCCTTTAGTGACGAAAACTATTTAAAATGTTCCTTGAATATCAAGATACATAAAATATAAGAATAAAACCTTTAACAATGAACAAAATATACCCTTCAGACTATAAGAAATATAATACATGATACAAAGCCTTTTAAATAATCATAAAACCTGATACATAACCTTACACTAACTTCAGCTAAACACTAAGATACAAATGTATCCTATAAAAATAAGTGATCATAAAAACTACCCATGGTAAAACATGTATGATGAATACATGAGCGTGTGCAGACTTTACAAATGAAAACCTTAGTTCTAAGTAGATATACACTGTACAAAGATAAATTTAAATTGCCTCGATTAATCATATAATTACATATGCACTTGCACACATATATGTATACAAGTTCACTAAATTTACAAGTTTAAGGAGAGATAAAGTTATTGACCCAAAGAAGCTCCAAGAGCATCTCTGTGCAAGGCCTTTTCGACTTTGCATCAGATCCTCTCAGAGACGATGCATTTCCTCCTCTAGCTGTATTAGCAGCTCTCTGCACTTCACCAAATAGTCTTCCTCGTGGTTATACAATGCCCAACTAAACCTCCATTCATTTGTCCGTCTGTTCTTGGTAGTGACATTTTGACCCCATTATCTGCTGGAGCGAGAGCTGCTTTTGCACCTCTGATATCGGCTTCACAGGGAGTACTTCTTTTTCCATCCCTGTCTCTCGAGCCACTGGAGAAAGTTTCAGTGATGTTTCAGAGGCTGAAGACTGGGTGTACATAGTGGGGGTTTGCCATTGCAGCTGGTGGTAATCTAACCAGTGGTGCCACAGTAGCAGCTGCCACTTGAGTGCTGTCCCCTGGGGCCGTGGGCAAAGGAGCCGGAACCATGGATGGACATTCCATTTACTAATTCCTCTCTGGTGTCAAAGTTATGAAACGTTTTACCATGATAAATGATGCAATGGTCCCACTGGACGTAAGAACATATTTCATGCCTGTTGTTCTTCCCTACGTAACATGCTCTGAGGATGTACTGGTATTTCTTTACCCAATACTTTGTCGCCTCATCCCTGGATATGAAGCTTTTGTACTTCTTTGGTTTGGTTCTGGTGTAATCTGAACTTGCTGGAGGGCTGGTAAGCCTGACATTTTGGGATCATCTGAACTTAAGATCCCTGACTCCTTCGGTTTGGTGATCAGGACCATTAATGGTGAGACAGCAGCTGGTTTTTCTTGATTCTCCAAATTCTAGAGACTAACTTCACAGTTACAGCCTACAGATCCCACATGTATTCATCCATGGACTCTAATAACATAAAAGTTAGGTCCACCTAGGATGTGGTAGGCAGTGTCAGAAGCTCTAAAGCATCTAAAAAAATGAAACAGAAATGATTGACCATTAGATCCTTCCAACTTAAGCAGTGATAATGATAGTTTTTTATGCAACACAAAGATCATTGTAAACTTTAGCAGTTTGGGTCAAACTATAAAAATAGTCAGAAGGATTAAGAACTTGATCTTCAGATGGAAACGTCATAATTGAAAATGCAGGGAAAAAGAAATTTTGATTGATCATAAAAAAACTGGTCAAGAGTGTGGATTAACGTCATAACATCCTGGTTATTAAAATACATTTATCTGAAATACCCATCAGAAGTAAGTGTGAAAATATCAAAAGTATTCCTGTGTTCCAGCTCCATGGTTCAAGCTTATGTGTTTTCATTCTTATCCCACCTGTAGAACATGAACTATACTACCTGCAGACCACAAATGATGCGGTCAGCCTTGGTCTTGAGCTTTACCCAAGCCTTAACTTTGCTGCCCAACATCATCACGGCATGATAATGGTACACAGCTAGCCTGTACCCTGCCACACTTTCTCCACTACCATCTGGTTGTTAGCCAATAAATCCTAGGTCCATTATGAAAGAAATGGAAGGCGAGAATGCTTATGTTAGTGACCAATGTAGATTGAGCACCACTCATTGGGACCCGTATCTCCTTTCCCATGTGACTTTATTCAGCTAAAAGTTGAGCACCAGGGAAAATAGCTACAACTCACATGAAGGTGTTACATTTCACTTCCACGCATTCTAACCAGCCTTGTACTGAAAAATATTAAGAATATATTCAGAAAACTGTCTTTTTTAGACATATTCAAACTTTCAGGATCGAAAATATTTCCGGTAACTAATAAAATATTGCATAAAACAATTTCCCATTTATTATGTTTAATGACACTGTTTATGAAGTTTACTTTTTATAGATCATTTCATCTCACTCACTCACTCACGTTTCAGTTCCA